TGATTCAACCCTTTATTATTTCTATCACAACTAGGAAACCTGTCATCACACTACCAATTTGTACTTTTTACTTAATTAGGTAATCTATTCTACTGTTAACATTGTCTCATAAACTGCCTTGATTAGTTTAATAATATCGTATATACATATAAATATTACTGTATATTAGAGTAAAGCCTGATAAGGATCTAATCCAAAACAATATTGTTCACTTATATATATTGTTCTATATTTACATTATGGGAATATTTCAAATATATTTATATAGTGTAGAGCCATGATGAAAAACTAGTCGAAAAGAAATTTCTTCGCTCGATTCGTTCCTTCCTTATAAACAAACATAAATCTATAAATATATATCTATATTATTGATTCAACATAAAATGTACTAAAAAGAAATCAATATTCTATTCACCAATTCGTGCAAATCAATCATTTACATGGTTCACAATCCAGTAAAAAAAAATTAATTGTCTGATAAATTTTGTTTATTTTATCTATAAACACTAAATGAATGAATATTTATTTTCATTTTGTTTTAGTTTTGTTGTTGTTGCCGTTTAGTTCGCTCGTTCGTTTGTTTGTTTTTGTTTTTGTTGTTGTTGTTTGGCGTCGAAACAAACATCTGTTATAATTGATTTAAATGTATCATTAAAATTAAAAGAAGAAAACTTAAGTCGGCTCATTTTGATTATGTATCTTAGTCAGTTAATTATTTTCTTTTTTCTTCTTTTTTTTGTATGTGATTAAACTTGATCATATTTTTTTATTTTTTTGCTGTTGTAAGAAATCGAGGAGAAAAACAAAGAAAAAGAAGAAGAAAAAAAAGGAAAAAAAGAAAGAATTTATCATTTAATTGTACATTTTTCATATTACTGACGAATTATTCTTTAATTTTATTTTTTTTGTAGATGTGTGTGTGTGTGTTATAGAAGAAAAATTCATTCATTCACTATTTTACACCTGGTAAAAATTTTCTTGATTAGAAACAAAAAATGTTCGTTGGTTTCTGTTTCTCTTTCACACATGAAAATGTGAAATATTTTTTTGTTGTGAAGAAAAAATTGTATTTGTGTCTTACTATTTTTAGTAACTTAGTAACAGTAGTAATATTTAATCGCATAGAATTATTGTAGTGTGAAATCAGAAAGAAAAAGATTCTTTTTCTCATAACAAATGTTTTATGGTTAGGTGAAACATAACTACATATTTCCATTATGCTAATGAATACAATTTACCTATTGATATTTATCTATTGTCTTTGTTATTTGAGGGGAGTGGTAATATTTGGGGACAAGAAATATGCATAGATATTACTTCCTTCCTTACTTACGCCTGTTACTCTCAATGGTGCATAGGCCATCGATCAGAATTCTCCAACCCACTGTGTCAGGAACATTCATTTCTAATTCTATCCAATCCTTGTTGATTCCTCTCATATCTGTCTCAATTTCTCGACAAAATGTGTTCTTTTGTCTTCCTTTCCTTCTCCTTTGGCCTTGAGGACTCCATATGAAAGCGTGCCTTGCGACGCAGTTGTATGCTTTCCTCAATGTGTGTCCTATCCACTTCCAACACGTCTTCCTAATTTCTTCCTCCACTAGGATCTGGTTTATTCTCTTCCACAGTAGGTTGTTGCTGATAGTGTCTGGCCAACAGATCCGAAGTATTTTGCGTAAACAACTGTTAACAAACACTTGTATCTTCTAGATGATGGCTTTCGTAATTCTCCAGGTTTCCGCACCATAATGCATATAATACATACATATATATTTATGACAAAATCGAACATGAAACATTATTCGTTAAGATCTAACAAAAAATAGAAATTAAACTATATCAGATACTGCACAGAGAGTCGAAAATCATGATAAAATAAAAACAACTAGATTAAGACATTTTTATTTGTAAAGCGATCAATTTACCATTCAGTTAGATGGCTAGAGTTCAATTTGAAAAGCTTAACAACTCCTGACTAATGGAACATTGTATATTTACAACTTTCTGTGTATGTTCGAAAACAATATAACACTCAGATTACTTTAGTAATATTATTCCGATATATAAAAATATTATCTCAATTGACACAAGCTTGTGAAGCATGAAAGATTAATTGAAGTTCTATTTAGTAAAAATATTTTAACTGTAACATATAGTATTCATCATAAGAACTCAAACGTTTACGGTTGATTTCTCTATGGTTCTATCGATTAACATTAGTGAATCATTACAAAAATTGAATGAAATCAATAGTCAGGTTCTCTGTGATTTATGGATGTATCACCATTTGATGTTCTAAATCGATCAATATTACATTCAATTGTTTTTAATTCTTCAAATAAAAACCTCTAATTTGAAACATTCAGGATTTCCATAGCGTAATTTAAAACAAACTATATAACTTAACATAAGTTATTCCAATTACATTTTCATTAGTCTATACTTTAATATTCATTTGTATACATTAAATGTATTAAACCAATGATAGGAATTTATTTGTCCATGAAAAGAACTTTACAGTTTATATAACTAATGGAAATAAGTAAGAAAAAGCAATATAATAATACAATAACAAATATGGTAGTAATTATAAGAACCAGGAATAGCGTGACAATATCGAATCATTATTTCGACAAAAGAAAAATATTAAAAAAACCAAAACAAAAAAATAAGCTCCTTAAAATAATCATCAGGAAACAGTTGCGTAACGACAAATATATATATATATATATATATATATATATATATATATATATATATATATATATATATATATATATATATATATATGATGAAGAGATACGAAAGAGGCAAACAGAAACAAACAACGGGTACAAAGTATTATAAGATTAGCTAATAAGATTTTTTAAGACCAAGGAAGTAATAAAAGCATTGAAAATATGTTCTAGACCTAAAGACCATGATTGTTGGCTTGACTCCTCTTTTTCTGTGTGGAAATATTTTATTTAAGAGGGTGGTTGGAGGTAGTCGACAGGAAACCATGGACCAGGGTTTCGTGCTACTTCGCACTCGTCAACAACGTGTACCTGTAATCTTGAGGGAACTTGTGCTTCCTGGAGGATTCAATCTCGTGTCACCCAGCTTTACAGTCAGAGACGTTACCACTGAGCTATCCGAGCTCCGACCGACCAGAAAAAATTATTCAAACCTTTTGAATATATTAGTTCAATAAAAATATACTACAGAATATAGGAATATGATTTTAATGAATAGCTCTCACAATTGACTGATCACTGGGTGGCGATCAATCTCATGCGTGTCTAGTCCTTATTAGTGCAGATCGAATGCTATCGATCATGTTGCAATGTGGCCACCAGTCTGGGTGACTCGACACTACGGGCACTATATATTGAGATTAGATGGTAGTTGAAGGTAGTTGGAAGTAGTGTCCACAACGTCTAGTCACCTAGACTGGTGACCACATTGCAAGATGGTCGATGGCATTCTATCTGCACTAATAAGGACTAGACATGCATGACATTGATCGCCACCCAGTGATCAACCAATTGTGAAATATTTTATTTATTACTGTTTATTTTTCATTTAAAATCTCAGTTTTCTCTTATTTCGATAGATTTATTTATGTATTTTTTTGTAGTGAGTATATTTTCACATATAAGTGATTGAACAATTCTCCCATTTACTAGATGTAATACATTTTATTGATTAATCTTTAGTTATTGCATTTACATCACCTGCTTTATACCAAGGATGTGTAAAAATGGTTCACCAATTGTTTATTATCCACTTGTACACCTCGTGTTAGACGTTCTATTGTTATCATTACTTCATTTTAACAAATGCAGTCACAAACAACAACTGTTAACAAGATATGAGTAATAACATATTCTTCTATTATTAGACGAGTTATCACTATATGATAATTCAGCGATTATTTGTTTCGTTTATTGCTAAACGTATCATAAGTATCTTTTTATAATATGGCAATAAGAAACATTGTGTAGTTTCTGATTGACTTGGATTTCTTCCAATGAAATATATGTATCCTATTTATTAACAGGAGATTTATGTTGACTTAAGAAGAATTGTGCTGATGAATGAAAAGACAATGTATAAACTAAGTCAAGTGTAAAGCCAATATGAAGAACAACTATTCTTTTCATAGATAATTTTTGTTTAGAGTATTTTTGGTAAATATATGGATAAATAGAACGAAAACAGTATCAAATGTCAATAAAGTTGGTAGCATAGTAGAAGATATTTTTCAGTCAAAATAATGTATTCATAGATTTCTTTACTGTTAAACTAGAAGAAGAAATGCAAGGTTGGTCTAAATTGTTATTTTATGGTGAACTTGTTTTGTACATTAGATTCTGAATTATATTGGTGAATGAAAAGAAATAATTTACTTCCAAACTCATACTAAAAAGTCTTAAAACTTAGTGGCGTTTTCCGATGAACAATGTTCAACAATGACTAGTAATGAGAAAATCAAAACCATCACAGATTCCCGTTGTCCAACTTTATTTTGAATCCCACTAATATACAATCGAAGACCTTATCTAACAATACTTGTGAAATATCGAGATTATTTTTGACGAAGTCTTGTTCTCTGAGCTAGATGATATGGTCGTGAAGCTTTCAACGCTCTTCGAAACGACATCATCAATATAAACTTCCGGTAGAAGTGAAGTGTTTGAATTTCTCTACATGTGGTTTACAGCTTGTCCTGAGGAACTCGATATTGATTGGTTCTTGTTAACTTTAAACTTGTCATTGTTTACTACCATCTCAATATCGAGATCTTCAAATTTTTTAAAAAAATTTTTATTCACTTTTTTTTGTTTCAATAACCAATCATTCCTTTTAATTTTCTAATCATAATTCACATTGATTTATGCATCTATTACAATATTTATTAAATTTATTTATTCAAAGATGATTGGTTCATAAACTAACCAATCAGAAAAAAAGAAGAGTAAACTATTGAATGATTGCACCGATTATTAATTTATTAACTTATTAAGAAATTTATATAATAATAATTATGATTCTATATCTACATTGATTGAATGCACCTCATTTCATTTATTTAAAATGTGAATTGAATTACTTGAAAAAAAATATAATAAAAGAAAAACAAAAAGAAAAGAAAAAAAGAGGAGAAAAGAAAGAAGAAAAAAGAATTAATAATGAATTCAATGAAAACTAGAATAATACTAATGTGAATAAACAATATTTATAAGGAATATATATATGTCTACACATAATCTTGAATCTATTCAACAATTAGTTTCCTATTTTCTTTTTTAGTTTCCTGGCAAAAATTATTATTTATATTCTAATACTCATTGTGAAATTTCTAAAAACCCAACAATTAAAAAACACAACAAGAACTCATGTTTTATTTATCAACAAATTGGAATATATATAAATAGGTAAGTGTTATGTAATCAATCAAAAATGAAAATATTTTTTAATTCAATGAACTCAATTGATGTATTGAAAACAAAAAAATTTAATGTAGCTAATTACTAGTTAAGTTGAAGTTAGACATTAACACTGTCGGATGCCGGATCAGTGGTGTAGTTGGTTAGGCGCTTGGCGCGAAACTGATAGGTCCTGGGTTTGAATCTCGCGGGGGGCGGGATTGTGGATGCGCACTGTTGAGGGGTCCCATATTAGGACGAAACGGCCGTCCGATGCTTCCAGGTTATCAATGGTGGTCTAACTTCAATTGACTGATGATTCCAACCAGTGAAATTAATATTTAAGTGTTGTGTACTTTTTTTTATGAATGCTTAGAAATATTTTGTCAAGTGTTTCAATGTGTTCTTAAGTTAAAATACGAAATGAATAATTGAAAAGTTATTTTAAGTGTTATTTTGAAAAGTGAAATAGTTATATAAAGATATCAGTTTGTTCATTTCGTTCTGTATATAGTTTGTTTCAATTTGTTAAGGACATGGAGGTTAGGTGGCTTATGTTAGTCTTGGTAATGGTGATCTCTTAGTTGATCTAGATTTCTTTTGAAAAAAAATCAACAAACGAAACTTAAATCACATGTTAAGCTAATGAATTTCATTCGTTGATGATTTAGTGGAATAGTCAATAACCATCTGACAAGTAATATGTTCTAGGCTTCTGAACATTTTTAGAGCATCTTCCTAGATTCTCTGTTAGGGAAAACAAGAAAAGTGAAGGAATATTAAATGCGAATTTATCACGAAATAATTTAAAAGCTCTGTTCATATCGTATCAAATCTACAAAAATTTATTAATAAATTTATTATCAGAATGAACATTTGTCGAGATCAACAGTACAATTCCTGAGTTGATGTCAGCTAGACTACCATTAAAAAACCAGGAAGCACTATAAAGAAACAGCCGTCTAGTGCTTCCACGTTTTCAATGGTGGTTTAGCTTAGATTGACTCACGAATTCAACTGTTATAATTAATTTATTAATTAAAACATTAACTGATGGAAAACTAAATCCTATATACTATATGAATAATAATCTATACATCACTATATATATATACTACTTATTTTTCATGATACTAATAGTGTTCAGGTCAATCAAACTTACCTGCGATTAGAATTGTTAAGAAAATCTTACATTTGCATAATTACATTATGAGTCATTAATTACACAACCACTTAAACAATCTAATTTGTCGTGTAAACTGACAAATAAGATCTGTACCCTTCAAGATATCATGTTTTATTGTGAACTGATTTGTAAAACTGATGTATATTGTCAAACCAATCAGATTCTGTAAAACAAGTTTTATGATTTAGTATAAAATTTCAAAGAAAAAGGAAATCACCTAATAAATAAATCTAATAAAATTTTATTTGTATCAGAAGGGGTTTTGTGAAGATTGTAGTAATTTCAACAGTTGAGATCATGAGTCAATTTAAGCTAGACCACTATGGAAAATCTGGAAGCACTGGACGAAAATTTTATTTCATGAGTACTTTAAATATATAATGTACCATTATGATACAGTTTATTCAGCTATCGTGGACTAGAAAGTAAGTAAGTTATCTACCGGATAACAGGTCCTTCTATATGGGATATATTCTCAAACAGATATTAGAAAATATATGTGTATATATTCCCTAAATATTCGTACTTATTCACAATGTTAACAAATTCATACATAAAGAATGTGATAGTTGAATGAAATTGATTATAAAACGGTTCACAACCTCATAAGGATATAAAATCATAGTGATTTACACTCAATAATGAATGAAAGTATTCCGATATTTGCAATGAAAAATCGATCATCAACTATGATAAGTATAACAACCTTGTAAAATTACTATAAACAATTTCGCTTCCGAATTATGGAATTTTGATCCAGTTTGTCTGTATGCTAACTGGATTAGTTGAAGTTAAACATTAATGGCGTGGCATGCCAGATCAGTGGTCTAGTGGTTAAGCGCTCGCGAGCGAGACCAATAGATCCTGAGTTTGAATCTCGCGAGGCTAGGTTCGTGGATGAGTACTGATGAGGAGTCTCACAATAGGACGAAACGACCGTCCACTGCTTACAGGTTTTCCATGGTAGTCTAGTTTTAATTGACCCATCATCTCAACTATTGATATGAAACTTTCAAGTTCATGTAAGTAACCACTTGAATTCGCTGAGATATCACAGCATCATAATTACTGTATTCATAACCAATAGTGATATTTGACACAAACATTTCGTGATTGAATGTTAATTAAGAGCTAAGCACGACTGTCACCATTATAAACTAAGAAGCGCTGGACAGATATTTACTATTCGTTTGTGAATTCTTATCCATAATATGAGTTCATTACTTCAAAATGTAAAAAAATAGAACTAATTTCTAAGTTTCATAAATAACGATGAGAGTTTAATGTTATTCAAGATTTTTCAATTGATATTTTAATGAATAAAACTGTACACTAATTAATGCACGCAACAATGCAACCTGGGGCCTTTGGTCTCGCGCGCGACAGCTTTGACTCAAGACCCTTTAGCTGGCATCCAACGGTGCTAATGTTTACCTTTAATTGATTTGTGATCTTGCATAAACCTTGACCTTAAAGTGAATTGAATAACTGTCTTACACTCGACACAGGTTGTACTCCACTGGTCACGACTTCTCACTAAGACTTAAGGAACTTCATCTTCAAGTTGTTCACTAATGAGCACATTGTTATCAGAATGGGGATTTGTAGGCAAGCACTGTTAGGGGGTCCCATAACAGGACCAGACAGCCGTCGTGTGCTTCCAGATTTTTAATGGTGATTCAGCTTAAATTGACTCGTGAATTCAACTATTAAAGCAATACAATCTTCACAAATCTTCATACTGATATAAAATAGATCTTTAGTTAATAGATCTATATTCATTCAATTTATTCCCTAAGCTGAACAATCTCTATTTTTTACAATAATGTTCCATCATGTTTCTACATAGTATATTGATGTGTATTTGCTCGCTTGTCTGTCTAATTCATTTATTTCTATCGTCATTCATTATGCCATGTATTTAAGAGGTTTCGTGAACACACAATGACTGAGAAAAGGCAACAATAAATTTACAAATTAGTTCACTAATAAAATACTTTTTGAACAAAAGTTACTTCATAAAACAAAGATAATGTGTTATACTCTTCCTTGAATTACTGAAAATGTTGCCAGATTTACTGAGAAGTTCGAATTGTATTTCACCTCTTCCTCTATCATGTTTGTAACTTCAGAATATTCAAAACCATAACTTCCAACCTCTTTCCTTGTTAATTATTCTCTTATAGTGTGCACAACATAATTTTATCACTATCAGAGCATCATTAACATCTCATATCTAAATTTATCAAGTACTGTTATGTAATCGATTATTACATTATTAATCTTTTTATAGATTTGATAGTATGCTCTCCAGGTCTAACATCTAACATCTTACCGTCGCAATATAGATGATGCTTTTATGTTATTAGAAAAAAATATGAAAATAATAATTTACTGAATATATTTAATAACATTAATCCAACAGAATAATGGCATATCATTTGTAGATGTGCAACTAACAAAAAGAATAGATGGAACATTAATAAGAGAAATACATAGAAAGTCTGCAGTTGGACAATATATTCATTTTTATAGTGTTTTGCTAATCAGATATAAAAGAAACTTAATAAAGATCTTAACTTATAGAGCTGAATTGACTTTCTCTGATAACACCAATGTAGATGAATTGATTAGTATTCGTAACCTGCTCAGTAGGAATGGATATCTAATGAAATTTACCAACAAACACATGAATGAAATGAAAAGAAGTCCAAATGTGTGTGAGTCACCTACACTGGTGGCCACATTGCAACATGATCGATAGCATTCGATCTGCACTAATAAGGACTAAACACGCATGAGATTGATCGCCACCCATTGATCAATCAATTGTGACTACATCTCAGTCCTACAGGAGGTCAGTTGTGGCTCGGATAGCTCAGTGGTAACTACCCTGACTGTGAAGCTGGGTGATACGAGATCGAATCCTCCAGGGAGCACTAGTTCCCTGAAGATTACAGGTATACTTTGTTGACGAGTGCGAAGTAGCACGAAACCCGGGTCCATGGTTTCCTGTCGACTACCTACAACCACCATCTGAAGTCCAAATGTATCTAGCTTTTCAAATAAAGTGCTGCTTTTGAAATTACAATTCTTAATTTATGCTACGGAAAAAATTCTTAGCTCCAAGGTTAAGAAAGGCGGTGTAAAAAACATTTATTGCAGCCAGATTGAATGAGGTTTTACACAATCGTTCAATAATAAAAACCATTAATAAAGACTGATTTTGTTACACCCATATATATATTTATCAATTTAACTGTTCCTGCGGAGCCAGTTATATAGGGGGTACACTTCTGCATGTCCGTCATCGCATAGCAGAATACCATCCATCTTGGTTAAGCAAAGGATAGGTAAGAGTTTATAAAAGTTCTATTCTCGCTTACTTTGTGAACGCAGGTCATCAAACTGAGTTGAATAAAAGTTTTAAGTTTATTCACCATATTCCAAAAGATTTAGCTCATGGTTTATAAGTTTGTCTGTTGCACATTTCGGAATCTAACGGAATTCACGTTTTCTAACCTTACTTTTGCTATCGGTACTGGAGTCGGTTTTTAGCTGAACATTGATTTAACCGTTTACTACAAAAAAATGCTCAAACAATTTTATGATTTTATCCACTTTTTTGTTTTTACACATACTCAACATTTGTCTGTTAATTCTTACGTAACTAACATATTATTGACTATTTGCCATATTTGTTCAATCCTTTATGATGGTTGCATTCATTCAGTCATATTGACATTCAGTACCTAGGTTAAACGACTTAACATGATCGTACTCTATTTAGTGTAAGCTATCCCACCTTATTTAACAATAAAGT